TGCAGCCTAATTAAAAGTGCATGAACAGGGAGAAGTGGAAATGGACGCCCATTAAGCTGGCAACAAAGCCGCCCAACAAAAGGTATCGGCGGTCAGCGCCGCATGGCAGTGGACTGCCCACAAAGCGTGCAGTACACGACCGATGGCCCAGGCGACAAGCAGCAACGGCGCGGACGGCCCAAGCGACAGGTAGGTCAAGTAGCGAAAAGCAAGCCGCCCAATCGAAAGGTCCTAATGGCTAGAGGGGGGTGAATAGCCTAATAAAAATCTACAACAACACTTAACAAAATGTGTTAGACAATTTTATGGGCGAAGCGAAGTGTTGCGCTAGCCTACTAAAATGCAAGCCACCTACCACAATTCTATTTCGAATAGTGTATATCCACAACAATAGCAGTGTGACCTTAGCTAAATTAGTGTGCTCTCAAAGACTAACTAAAGAGCAACACTAATCAAACAAACAAGCTCTCACAACTAGCTACACTAAAGAGCTTGATAACTAGTTTGCATGTAATGTAAGAGTGAGCAAGAGAGTTATATCGCCCGAGTATAGTGGTAGGAACCAATCAATCACAATAATGAATACCAATGTAGACCAATCACCTCGGAATCAAATGATGAACACAATGATTTTTACCGAGGTTCACTTGCTTCTTAAGCAAGATAGTCCTCGTTGTGGCGATTCACTCACTTGGAGGTTCACGCCATTTGATTGGCATCACTCGCCAAACCCTCAATAGGGTGCCGCACAACCAACACAAGATGAGAATCACACAAGCCACAAGTAATTAATTTACTAGAGTACCTTTTGGCGTTCACAATCGGGAAAGGTCAAAAACCCCTCACAATCACCACGATCGAGTCGGAGACAATCACCTCCTCCACTCAACGATCCTTGCTGCTCCAAGCCGCCTAGGTGGCGGCAACCACCAAGAGTAACAAGCGAAATCCAGAAGCGAAACACAATCACCAAGTGCCTCTAGATGCAATCACTTAAGCAATGCACTTGGATTCACTCCCAATCTCACTATGATGATGAATCAATGATGTAGATGAGTGAGAGGGCACAAGTATGCTATGTCAAGAGAAATGGCCAAAGATTGTGAGCCACACCGCCATGGGGCTTAAATAGAAGTAATAGAGCCGTTGTACCCCTTCTTTGGGTATTAGTTTCTATTCACCTTTCTCCTCGGCGTTTTTCTTCCTCCCACCAACTTCAAACGCTGTTCGCCGATTTCAACAGGCTGCGAAAGTCGACCGGACGTCAGTAAAAATCGACCGACGCTGAAGCCCCAGCCGTCCGGTCATTTCAAAGAAGCTCCCGAGGCATGTTTTTTCGATCGCGCGTCGATCTTGAACCCTAGCCAGGTTGCCGTCGTGAGCTCGGACGGACGTAGCCCTTCGTCCGTCCGGTCATTGAGTGACCATATCCGGTCAAGAGACCGACGCCAAACATCATTTCGATCAACTCCATTTCAACTTTTACTTCTTCACCCTTGCTCAAGTGTGCCAACCACCAAGAATTTTGCATCCGGCGCAATAGAAAATAGACATTTCATTTTTCCGAAAGCGCCGAATCCCGCCGATTCGGCGCTTTTGGCTTGGAACCATACCCATCTCAGCCCTACAAACACCTTGTGCACATGTGGTAGCATATTTACACAAATATTATCAAGGGTGTTAGCACTCCACTAGATCCTAAATGCATATGCAATGAGTTAGAGCATCTAGTGGCACTTTGATAACCGCATTCCGATACGAGTTTTACCCCTCTTAATAGTACGGCTATCAAACCTAAATGTGATTACACTCTCTAAGTGTCTTGATCACCAAAATAAAATAGCTCCTACAAGTTATACCTTTGCCTTGAGCTTTTTGTTTTTCTCTTTCTTCTCTTCAAGTTTAAGCCCTTGATCATCTCCATGCTATCACCATTGTCATGTTATGATCTTCATTTGCTTCTCTACTTGAAGTGTGCTACCTATCTCATGATCACTTGATGAACTAGGTTAGCACTTAGGGTTTCATCAATTTACCAAAACCAAACTAGAGCTTTCACCCACGCGGTCCGGGCAACGACACATTTGCGAAGAGGCCCCTGAGCTTTCCTCAATCAACCCGCAGTACAAAGACACTATTGCTGTGAGTCACGTATTTTGTAATAAGAACCCTGTATTAGTTTCTATTCACCTTTCTCACCTTTTCTTCCTCCCCAAAGGCAGAGCACGGAGCAGAGTAACAGAGAAGGGCCGGCTCCGGCTGATTCCCACCGGTGGAACGGCAACCAGGCGGCGCAGGGGCAGCCTCGGAGCCGGCCATGCGCGCGGGCCACGAAAGGACCCGGCCTGGCCGTGGCGTGGACCGAGGCGGGCACGGCATGGCGGGTGCTGTGGTGGCGCAGCCACGGCGGGGACGCGGCGCGCATGCGCGTGCAATGGTCGGTGAAGGGAGCGGCCCAGGTGCTAGTAGCGGCCGGCCACGCGCACGGCATGCAGAGGCCGCGATCGCGGCGGTAGGGAAGGCGCTTGGGAGGCAGTGTCGTGGAGCAGCAGGTGTTGCGTGGGACCACGGGGCTCGCACGCGTGCTCGCGAGGGACCGGCGACGGACGGCAGGAGGCGCGACAACTACGGGCGTGGCCTTGGCGGGTGCTGGGCGCTGACGGCGTACGCGACAAGGATGTTGTGTTGCTTGCGTGCGTCTTGCTCTGGTGATAAGGGCTCCGGACTGCTTGCCTGGTAGAAGGAAAAAGGGGAGCAAAGGAGCAGATGCAGACAGAGGCATTCACGGAGCTGCAGGGATGATGTGACGAAGCTGGCAGTTGGACGGTGGCGCTTAGCGGGGGAGGCAGCAACTGAGGCTTGCTCTTGCTGTGATGGTGTGCTACCGATAGGGTGTACTCGCTGAGCGCTGCTAGTACTATGAGCTACTAATGATGCATGCATATTTGCTACTTGGATGCATATTTGCGATATGCGCTGGTGGCTTCGGCAGCTCGGTGAGTAGTTGGGATGAACTGCCGAGAGCGAGCGGGGCGAGGTAGTTGAGGTAAGCGGCTGAGATCGCCCGCTACAGGCGCCGCTTCACGAACAGAGCGCCAACAACACGGTTCAATGCGTTCTAGCAAAGTTCGGTTAATTTTAGAGTGATCGTCGTAACCCCTAACGCAACTACGACCTCTGATGCACCCAACTGTGCAAAAGCATAACATTAGTGTTGAGGTATGTTTGTCGAAATTTAAATGCCAACATAGCACTGTCTATTATCGTTTTCAACTTAGAAAATTATAGCTTTTAGTTTTAACTACACCCACTAGCGCTTTTGCCTTAATTTCTAAAAGGTCTAAACCCTGTCGATTTCAACTAACAAGTATATCATGACCTAGCCCATATTGCATACTAACCCATAGGAGCGAAATAGTTAAGCACTATTGAACTATTTTGCTCAACATAATTTACCAAAATCGACCTTTCGAACATAAATCTAATTTCTCGTCGACTCAATGAAAAGTTCTAGTTTAAAATCTTGGATTCGAATTTCTGAGCTATCATATATACTATTGAATAACTTTTACTCACCAAAACAAGAGTTGCATTTTTATCTATTAAGCTCCAGATTTATTCAAGTACTAAATACAAGTTATATTTTATTTTGTTTATAAAAATTGCTTTTCATGCTTAATCTAATAGAACAAACCATTCGCTAGCTATTTGCTAGAATCGTTATCGGACATTTCTAAATATCTTTCCGCACTGAGTAATTTAACTTGGGTGTTTATTTGAGCCCACAAAACTGAGTTACAAAGGATTCACTTATCACTCCAAGTATGTTTTTAATCAAAAATCCGAAAAACTCGTTTCGGAAATTTTTGTTAAGCCTAAATCTCGGTGCTAAACAAGCTTGTAACACCAGAGGTGTTACAGGTACATTCGGAGAGGTGTCATCTCCTAACCAAAGATAATTTTGCCAAACGGAATTGGCAAGGTAGTAAACAATGTTGTTTGTGCAATGAAAATGAAACAATACAACATCTGTTTTTAGATTTCCGGTTTGCACGCTTGGATTGGGCCACCGTATATGCAGCCTAGGGACTCCCTAGACCTCTTAATGTGTCTAATATGTTCGGGAGAGCTAGCTAGATGGGCTTAGAAAAGACTTAAAACCGTTGGTTCTTTTGGGAGCTGCAGCTATGTGTCTATGTAGAAATGCAGTTATATTTGAAAACGAACAACCTTCCTTTGTGCAGGTCATTTACTCAACTATTCACCGGCTCGTGGTCCATCCTACAGAAGTCTACTTCCTAGGAGGTGGTTGTAGCGGCTTCTCAATTTTTGGTGCAGGTGGCCAAGGATTTTTTTTATCCGGGCACATGGGTGGCGGTCTGGTCTATGGACTGATAGTCATTAGGGTGCCCTGACATTGTTTTTTGTCTCTTTCTTTGGGCTGTGTGTGCCTTTCAGGCAGGAGGATTTCAAGATGTTGTATTAACTTGACGTAACATTCTTGAAATTAATAAAGCTTCCATTTTTGAAAAAAATATTCATGCGTCTTGATGTATGGGCTGGAACAAGAGAGTCACTATTAACTTAAGCTTGGATTTTAATTAAATACACATTGAAGACACACTGAGAGCCATGCAGGGAGATAAATACTTAGTTGTAGCCTATATGTACACACATTCAGAGATTCTAAAAACGTCATCTGATATGGAAAGGAGGGAGTAAGTAATTTTGCTTAGTTGTAGTTGTAGCTTTCTTCTAGATACTAAGCACGAGATTTAATACTTAATAAGTATTCTAAAGATGTATAGCCCATGCAAAGAGTACAGGAGTAGGTAGACTATGGTATAGCAAATGTATTGGTATTATCACCGGTGACTAGTGGTACTAGCTAGAAAACTCGCATGAAAAAAATGTAGCGGCAAACAAAAAAAAACATATGGGATGAATAATCAAACGTGCACTGGATCAATCGGGATCGATGAACCGGTGCCCCTAGCTAGCTAGCCGGCGTAGAGGTGGACCCCGACGGCGACCATGAAGATGGCGCAGAAGCCGAAGAAGAGGAGGGTGTGGACGAAGATGGCGAAGCCGCTGGTGCGCATGCTGTGGAACTCCGGGACGCCCCGGCCGCTGCCGGGGATCTGGCAGAGCAGCCCCGGCGTGAGGAGCACGAAGAAGAGCGTCGCGATCAGCACGGGGCCCCAGTCACCCATCTTCTTCTTCGACTCGACCGGCCGGCTCCCTTCTCCTCCTCTTCTGCTGCTACTGCGGTTAATGGTCTCAGAGATCATCAGTGGCGTATATATAGTGCACCGCACTGTATATATTTTATATATCTGCATCGTCGCCGGTCGCCGGCCAACCGTCCGCCGCGGCTACTATGTCAAAGCAAGTCCGGCTACATGCCAACTGGTGATGCGCACGTAGACGGCGATTTGGAAGCTCCTCCTTGTCAGTACCGAGGCAACGTGCCAGGTAAGTACTACGTGCGTTTACTTGACCTGATCCAAAGAGAAGTGACCGCCGGTACGTACATGCCAATGAGGCTGCAGAGAAAACGGAGGTTCTTCCGTCACTTGTTCTGAGACTCCAAGGCGCCGCCGCTCGTCACATCAGACTTGTTTTGTTTCAAGAGAAAATGAATGCAGTCAGGGAAGATTTGTTACACGTGGCAGATGCCATATGTTGTGTTTGGTTCACATTTCGGGCTTATTTTGATGCACGTGTATCCACTTCGATCCACGTATATTGGAGTGCGTGGAATGATATGAAACTTAATTAATTCCACTCAAATCCACTTTAATACATGTGGATTGAGATGAATACATGCACATCCAAACAAGCCCTTCGCGGGATATTTCTGGACGAGAGATGACGACGATTCATAGATAGATGGGCAGTGTTGGGTTCGCGGATGATGATCTAAAAAAAGTGTTACTAGCGCCGGACGTCCGGAGCCGCTCAAAATATCGGACGCCTCCGGTCCTTCGCGCGGGAGACTGCGCCACACGCGAAAGAAGCCCACATCATTTGTTTTTGCGCGCCCCACCACGTGGACCTCACACTGGTATTTCACCTAACCACCGCGTCCACACGTAGGAACCCACGTGGATCCCAGTCACCTGCCCCTGCCTGTGGATGCCCTTGCGGATGCATCTACCGGCCTCAGCGCCCATATGATGACCCACGGTGGAGCCCTAGCAGCTGCAGGCTGCAGCAGGTGGGTTCCATTGCGACATATCCAACACCTAGTCTACTTTTGCAATATCCAGATGAAACAATTGCAACATACGTAAAACAGCTGAAACACTTGCAACGTACGTGTGAAACATTTACAAAAACACCAGAAAAAACTTGAAAACACGTGTGTAACCATAGCAAACATATGCAAACATCCAAATAAAACACTTACACCATACATATGAAAATAGCTGAAACATTTGTATATAAATACAAATACAACATCCAGATTTACTTTTGTAATATCCAAATGAAACACTCGCAACATACGTTTATAGCCAATGAAACATGTGGAACATCCTGATCTACTTTTGCACCATCGATATAAAATACTTGCAATATACCTCTAAAACATATGAAACACTTGAAATATACGTCTACAACATGCGTTTTCAGCACAATGGCACCTTGCTCCTTGGACGAATGGAGGCTCATCGGCTTGTAGAGCTCGATGCCAGTGCGGAGATCGACGCCGCAGAGTGGGGGGGGGGGGCGGGTGCAGTGCTCGATGTGAGCGACCCCCCACACTATCGATGAAATACATCCAGGACAGTCTATCGAGGGGTTTGCCCACGGTAGTAGATGAATCGGTGGAGGTGCGCGTGAGGGAGCCGGATGGTGACACAGAACGTGAGAGATAGCGATTAGACAGGTTTGGGCCCGTCAGCATGACGTAATACCCTATGTCCTATGTCTTTGTGGATTGTATTGCGTATAATCAGATGAAAATGAGGGGGTCCCTACCCGCCTTATATAGCTCAGGGGTAGGGTTACAGATCGGTTGTTTATATCCTGATCGGTTTTATAAGATAGGAAGTTACAAATATTACGGGATCTGGCATATCCGAGCAGGTTTCCTAGATCATTGAAAATCTTCACGTAGTCTTGCGAGGCACGCTGACCTATATCGTGCCTCGCACGGCGTCGTCTCGTAGGCTAGGCCTCCACCAGTGGTGTGGCTGTAACACCCTTGGTGTTACACCCTAAATCATTTACTAAAACATGTCATGAGCATCATACTTGTGTGTTAATGCATGTAGTGCAATGAGTAGATAATGCATTATAACTAAAACCATCAACAAAAATACAAAACGAAAGTTGCTCCACGATTCGTACAGTTAACAAGTTGCGGTGTAAACTAATTTTTATTGAACAAAAAAACTATAGAACATATATATGACGCGTAAATAAAGTTTAAAGTATAAACTTTGTAGATGACAATGAAATGCTTGGTATTGAAAAAGAATATTGCTAAGTAATATTTTCAGTAGCTTAGAAATGCAATATGAAATTAAGATTAGCTCAAACGCTTAGAATTTTTTTAAGCTTGGGGACAGCTAGACGCTGCTATGTTTAGCAATTTATTTGGGGAGATTGGGTTAAGGAGTGGTGTAGTGCTATGATTTGATCTAGTAGTTCCATATGCCATCTTGAGTGTAGTGAAGCCGGTTTAGGTTTAGAAGCAACGGTTTGGTCGTGATCAGCGCTTTAAAATTTGGGCACGTCACAGCTTTGTGCTGTCTGGCGCCGTGCGCGTGGTCACCACGCATGGCTGACCCTCGTCGCAGCGCAGTTGTGCCATGCGCTAGCGCGTGGCCGTGCATCGACTGGCCGAGGCCGCCATGGCCTTGCCGCGGCTTGGCCGCTCTGGCCGCATCGCTAGGCCGCCCGTTCGCTTTGCACCCGACCGCCCCTGCCGCCGCAACTGCTGCTGGTGGTGCTGCTGCCTCCGCGTCAACGCCGCTACTGCTACCGTCGCATCGCCATGCTGCGCGCCTACCACTGCGCTGCGTCGCTGGCCCGCCTTGACGCTACGCGCACGAGGCTGTGTCGCCATCACCTTGCCATTTATGGCAATGCGGCACGCGGGTCACGTCGGCAGCGAGCGCATGGCCGTCGGCTAGCGTTTGGTCGTGAGCCGCCCAGGTCATGTCAATCGCGTCCCGCCAAGCATGCGCATGCCGAGCCTCTGACCGAGTCCCCACCTCCCGTCCACTTGCTTCTCCCCTGTCCGCCTCTGTACTGCCACCACCGCTGTGCCGCGCTAGAGCGTCTAAACGCGAGGGGACGCCTTCCATTAATTCGCATGCCGTCCCCACCGCACTTTGATTGCGGCTCGGCCGAGCCTCAATTTTGGAGCTTCGCCCCGCCACCGCGCCGTTAAGACCCATCACCACCTGCGCCATGGCTAGTCCTCCCCACTTACTCCCGCATCGAATTGGCTACACCAATAGCTCGCCTTGAGCCCCTCTGCACCATGCGCACGCTAGCCGTAGCTCTAGTGCCACCTCCTTGCCGTTGACGTAGCTGTGCCTTTGCGGTCCATTGTTCACCTCGCAGCGCGCACGTGGCCAGCCTCGCTCGGGTCATTTTCGGCCAAGCCGGCACCTCGGTTAGGTCACTGGTGAGTTATCGTTCCTCACCCGCTACCCCTACTGCCTTTTACTGTGGCTCACCAGAACGCCATCACCATTGCCGTAGGGTGCCCATCATCATGGAGAGGTCCTTCTATGGCATCCGGCTCATGCAACCGCCACCCATCTCCTCGCGTCGACACCTTGGTGAGTATCGACCTCTTAGCTAGATTAGCATGGGTCCTAGGCGGCCAGCGCTGTCGCCAGTGCCACCGCTCGCCACGCCAAAGCGTGCGGGGAGTCCAGGGACCATGTCGTTGTAAAGAGGAGAGAGTGCAAGGGTCTTTTTGCATAGGTGCTATCTCGGGAATAGTAACATGAACTATGGGTTGTTTTGTTTAGAGCCCAGGGGCATTTTTCTAATATGTCAGCGCGCACGTGGGCTCCTCGCCGTGGGCAGCATGCGCGTGCATGGGCCGCGCCTCGCGTGGGCCACGTTGGGTCGGATTCGGTTATATTTTTTGTGGAAAATAGAAATAGTTTTTTATTTCTATTTCTGAGCTAAACTTTGATAATTAACAACAATTTATATAGATGTCCAAAAATCGTGAAACAAATTTTGTTAGGCTCTTAAATTCTTTATCTATCTATTAGTATTATTATTTCATACATATATATGATGAAACTATGGTCTATTAAATCAATTGGAAATACATAATATTATTAGGTTAATAATTGTAGGATTTTTTGTGGCAAAATGGTAATAGCTTTTGCTCTAAAAATTTTATGGTAGTTTTATGGTATTATTATGTGCTCGCTGTAATTTTTGTAGCCTTAGAATAGGCTAGGCTTTAGGGTAGTTAGATACTCCTTGTTTTAATATATGTTAAATCGCTAGTAGAAGCAAGAATATATTTTAGTTGTTAAGTTAATATGTGTTAGATGAATTTGTACCTTGTTTGATGAAAATACTAGTTAGCTTAGTATCTTAGTCATTAGAGTTAGCTTAGTAGATTAGTAGATGTATTCTTATTTTAAGAGTTGTTGTTGCTAAAATACTTAGTGTTGCATCATCGTTGCATGCATGTAGAGAACGAGTTGGTGGAGTTCATAACCACCGGATAGCAGGAGTATGAGGAGGTGATCGAGGAGTACGAGGAGGAGGTCCTCTGTATAGGAGGAAGCCTCGGGGCCACCGATGACTGATATAGATGACAATCCACCTACCCAAGGCAAGCCCCGGTGCATAACTCTTATTTTAAATAATCACTGGATATATATTTGTGATGTGCATTTACGTTACAAGATTTATATTGAAACTACATGCATAGATAAACCTACCTATGAGTCCTACTAGCATAGGTCGAGTAGCAACTATGTTTAGGCTATCGATAGCATGAGTAACCTGCCGTTACTCACAATAGGTGATTATTATTATTATTCTCATGATAAAATGGTGAAAGAAAATGGAGATTGGGCAGGGATATGGTATGGGTATTGGTGGGTGTAATAGGTTGTGTCCCACGACCAACAGGACATAGCTTGGTTACACTATTTTCCATGTCCGTATCAGTTAAGGACCATCCGTTGCTGTGGATGGTAGTCAGGTCAGAGACTTA